GTAAGGTGGACAACTTCTATCAAACATAAGTCTTTTTTTTCTTTGTTTTTTAAGGAATATTTTTTTTTAATTTCAAATGTCACTTTACTTCATCATAATTTTGAACACAAGAAAAAAGTTAATCTCTATAGTAATTTTCCAGTTGATAGCAAAATTTGCTTTTGATATTTCTGAGAGTATTAACATTACTAATTTTAAACACCTTGGTCAAGTTTAATAATAAAACTGAAATTAATAATTCAATATTTTATCAGAGATGGCAGTTTGCCAAACAAACAAGTAGTTGATCCACTGAACATTGTTGAACTGGTCCAAACTTACATTTTACTTTTCTCCAATGATTATATAATCAATTAATTTTTTATTTTATAAATTAACTTTAAGTGCCTTGTAATTATAATTTAAGATAAAAAAATGATAATACAAAGTAATTTGCCAAAATATAATAAATGTAAATGAAATATCTGCTATTTCTAGTCTAATATGTGTACAATCATAGGATTTGTGTCAATATCATTATATCACATCAAAGAAAATCAAAGTGTCTTTCATTAAATAAGTCTACCAAGTAGATTATGGTTGATGTTATCATCATTTCAAATAGAATTTTATAAACTACAAAAACAATAAAGACTAGATTGAAATCATTTAAATGTAATGATAATTGGTCTGAAGGATTTAAAAATAGTATTTGGTTCAAGGTTTCCTAATTACTCTTTTGGATTATAAATATTCATGTTATTAGGCTATCTTGTTAACAAATAAAAACTGTGTTTAGAATCAAACTTTTTCTGAAAGCTTGATCAATTGTTCCTGTTTGTTAATAAGAAGAAAAGAGATTATTGTTCTTTAAACAAAACACATGAAAAATATTAGAAAACTAAGCTTATAATTTTCATGATGCTGATAGGAAATATAAACATTAAAAATATTTATATAAGTTGCACATGAAAAGTTAATGTTCTAACATCAAGTATTGTGCTTGGCTTTTAATTGTTCTTTTGTTTACTTCAGTTTCTGCTTTTATATATTCCTATATACATATGTATTTAGTAATATATTTGAATAATAAAATAGTAGATCTAAATTGGTCACTACTAATGATATTTGCTGTTCTTTATGAGATACCTAAAGATTTTTATCTTCTAGCTGGGTGATTTCCTGAGTATTCAAGTTCACTTTAGTATTACATTGCTAAGTGAATTCTGGGCATTTTGACATGGCAACCTTGCCTTGCTAGATCGATTACAACTGAATAGTGAGTTTGATCCTCACTTGGTGATCCATACTTTCAGCCTTGTGCCATATCTAAGCTAAGTGAATTTTGTTTCTGGTATAAGTTTTGTGTCTATTAATTTTTCTTACACTTATGGATTATAATCCCAAAATTCAAGAGACAAAGTGTAATAATCTCGCAATCTCTTTGTATTGAGGTTAAAATATAATTTAAATAATACAGTTAATGGAATTACAGAATTAGTAATGTGAATGAAGTTTGGATTTTATATATACTTATTGTTAGTAAATATGTTAATGATAGAAACAGACATTCTTGTTTTAATTTGTCTCATTAAACTAAATACTTTGTTCTTAATATTTGAAAAGCAGTTTTGACAGAGAATAGAATGGTTTTAAATTATTACTGAAAATGCTACAAATGTGCAAATGTTGCCAAACTGTTTCCATATTTGAATCCTGATCTTCTCATTGTCTTAACTGTAGCAAAATGAATTAATCAGTTTTGACCTTACAACAGATGAAATAGTTTTTCATCAGGCCATGTATGAGGGGGTGCTGAAAAGTTCTTGTCTCAACATACTTCCCATAATTGGTATTTAGATATCCAAACTGGTAAAGAAACACAAATGTTGTGCCACATATGTTGAACTCTGGAACATATGCATATGAAATAGCATGTATATTTGATGGATCTAAGTCATTCTTGATTGGGCTGAAAACTTTTCAGCATTACATATAGAGGGATGGCATTTTTCTTTTGCCCATCAGTAACATATATTGAGATGTTTGCTAAGGGCAATGGTACAAACAAATATTAATCATACTTTCAAGATTTTTCTCTCTCTTCTCCTTTTGATAGCTTTCCAATTGTTTTAACAATGTAATCTTTATTAGGATGTCTTAGTCTCGATCAGTGGCTGCATTGCAGTCAATGATATTAAATCTGCATTGATTCTCTCTCTGTTGTTAGCTCTCTCCACCTGACACTAATGATTACCCCCACCACTTTATTTGTCTATTTATGCCTGTCATTAGTACCTTTCTAGTCTGTAATCAACAGTGGATCGAGACCACTGCTCTTGTGAAATGTCCCATAGAAAATGACTGGACATTATGAGAAAATGAGCGTAAAAAGAGTGAGGGTTTTGAAACAAACTCCACAATGAATTCAATGAACATTAAGAGGCTTTACTTTGCTAGTTGCCTCTGGTTAGAATTGTTTTTTAAAGCAGGTCAGTTACATCATGTTGTTTTGAGCACAATCATCATCAGCATCATGATTATCACTCATTACTTGGTTACTAAAAGTCTTAATTGCAAATTCTAATATTTTGTTTTTACAGATATTTTTGATATTTCATCCCTTAAAATCTGCTTTCACTTCTATGATCCTTCTTCAGAATCTCATATGTGTCTGACACTAAGCTTATGTGATGTTATTTTTTTCATATTTTTAAAATCTATTTCAAGATGCGTATGATTTGTGATGTTTACTGAACAGTTATTCTATTTTGAGATCTCACATTTAAGAACATATCAACCACTCATTAGCAATATACTACATATAACAGAAAAATGTATAATCTTCAAACTTTGTTAATCTCAATTAAAAACCATGCAAAGTTTTACATATGAATACTGGTAAATAAATTTACTTTATCTGGGAGGAATAACTCTCAAGTTAATTTTTGTCTGATTTAATTTTTAAATACAGGAAAAATATATTCACTTGAACTTCTCTTTTATTTGTCTCCTTAAAATCTAGGCATAGTATTTGTTCTTTTTCTTTTTAGCCACTGACATAGAAAGAATAGACCTATTTGGATTTTAACAAAATGTATTCACATCAAATAGAAACATTCAATTTTGATTTCAATTCTGACATTTCCATGCCCATTAGTCTAATTTTTAAGTTTTTATTTCTGTGTGAAATTTCAGGAAAAGATTACAATATTGTTTACAAATGCCAAAAGTCAGAAAAATGTGAGTCATATATGAGACATATTTTTAAAATATTTTATGAATTTAAGAAATACTTTAAATTTTTGTGTTTTTTTTTTTTATCTGAGTGTAGATTTTAAGTACTGATTGATATTTTAGAATAAACTAAAATACAATTTTAAAACCAAAATAATTACTCAGGTCTGCCCTATGCATATAAGTTTTTTTTCTTCTATTTCATATAAAAATTAAAAAAAAATACATTGAGTTTTATAAGATATACTTTTGTCATCTTATATATTCAACTGTTGGTGTCAGTGTCTATGACTAGATTGAAATAATTCAAATTTCTTATATTCTCTGCATATAATTATATAGACTGATTAATTTTATTCATAATTACGAAACACCTGCTAATCCAGATTATGATCATCTGCCAAGACTAATCCAAATTGTAGACCAGCAATTTATACATTTCAATTGTTATTATTTTACTAACATATTCTTTAAATGAGGTACTTTTCTCTTTTGTGTATTTATATTTTATAATACTTTTAAAATATTTTTCATCCCATAAAACTGACTAAATGATGATTCAACTACTTATGATCAACTACTTGTGTCAAAAATATGTAATGCTTAGTTTTATTTATTTTAGTAAATGAAAATTTGAAATAGGAAAGGTCTAATTTTTCTTTTGTTTTTAAAATCAGATTTTAATACAAATGGATAAGTTTTTCTTTTTAATACCTAGATATGTTATTATTTATTGATTTCTTTTATCAAATAACTGGAACAAATAAATATTGATATAAGGGATTGGTTAAAGCAAATTACCATGATAAGCAATAATAAAAAAAAACTCACTTTAGGAGAAAGGAAGTGGTTTAAAAAAAGAAGAGAATGAACATGATTTTAAGTAATCTAGCCTGTTTGTAATATCTTGTAATGTAAAAAAAAAAAATGAATATGAAACTAAACAAAACTTTTTAATGAGGAGAGGGGGGGAAAAAGGATTGCTTCTGGAATGAACTGAGGATATTAAAACCAATAAGAAAAAGGAAATGTGAGATCAATAGGGCTTTCACAAATCAGTAAGAAAGCACTTGGACAACATAGTAGAAACCACATATAAGAATGTATAAAAAGTTTGAACAAATAACTGGAAAGAAAAAATGAAAATGAGGATAATTAAAAAAATTGAATATTAACTGTTATATCAATTTTTAATTAAAAATTGTATTGATTTCTGCATAATGATGAAAGGATTTGAGGAGTTCATTTTATTTCTACTTCTTGTACTCTACATTGTATTTGTGGATGTTATCATTCCTTCAGAATATAAAATTCATATTTTTAAATATGTAGAATCCTTCCTGAAAACATAATCATTATTAATGCATATACAAACAACTTGCATTTCTTTTTAAACCTTATTTGAATTTCAATTAAAAACATATTCATACATATTTTTAAAAGAAATATTAAATTGATTTTTAGAGAATAAACTTCTATATTCCCTATTTTTAAAGTTTTTAGACAATCAAAAATTATGATTGTGACCACTCAACTCTCTTCAAAATATATCTCACTAAACAAAGTTTGATTATTTTTCTTTTGATAACTTTATAGGTACAAAATCAGAAATTCCTCATAAATGACCATCTAAAATCTGGCTTTCCTTTGTAATATTTATGACAAGTCTCTGCAATTTGTGCTGAATAGTTGATGTTGGTATCAAATTAGACTGTAGCCATGATGATTATTAACAAATGATTTTTTAAAATAGGTTAAATTCTATTTATTTTTGTTTATTTCAGGTTCAGGCAAGTCCTATACAATGATGGGCACTGCAGATGAAAAAGGAATAATTCCTCGTTTGTGTGATGCCCTTTTTGAAAAAATAGCCTCAAATGATGATCCTGAGCTAACATACAAAGTGGAAGTTTCCTACATGGAGATATATAATGAGAAAGTTCATGACCTTCTTGACCCCAAAGGGTAAGTAACTGATAAGAAAAAAAAAAAAATTTATAAATGAATTGAAATGTTGAATGCACACACATTTCATCATATTGATTGCTTCACATAAAGCATATTTATATTCCTTTTGATTTTAATAAGCAAATTGTTGGCCATATACAAGGAGGTGCTGAAAAGTCCTCAGCACAACCAAGAAATTCTTAAAAAAAATAACAATCTGATGTTTGGTCATTTGGTTAGATTTTGGGAAGTGTGATGGGCCAGGAACCTCTGAACAATCCTTATAGATTTTTATATTTGGTGTAAGAATCTTTTTTTTTATTTTTGAGTTTTAGAGTTTAATGTTTAGAGATGAAAATTAATCTCATTTAAAAACAATTACAGCTAGATGGAAGATGAGAACTGTTTCTTTCATTTGGTGATATTTGGAGACATTGATGATGTCTCCTCAACCTTATTGTATATTTATGTTCCTTACAAAACAAAAAAGCAGGGAAACAAGAAATTACAATAAGCAATTATTCTAAAGCCAACTCCTGGTTTATAACTATTCATGATATTTTGTTTGCCTTGCATAAATATTAATATTTAGTGAATTACTCCAAAGCTCAAACTTTTAACCTTATGATCTCCATTGGGATAACTAACAGAACAGTTCCTAAATATTTATAGAAATTTCTATTCTCATTTGATGAAACAACTATTTTATTTATTATGAGTAGTAGTTGTATTTATAAATAGCATTTTAGCTCTTTGGTATCTAAGTTAATTTAAAATTTCTAGATCGCCAATGAAATCAATTGGCCCTTGATCTGTGTACAGCCTTAATAATATCGGAGCCCAATACAAGTAACTACAGATATCAATGTTTAGAGATTCTGTTTCTCCTCTGTCAAGATTTTCTGTTGGACTTTCTTCTATCTTAATTGAAATTTGCATTTTGTTGAACCTCAGTTTCAACTGATTGGGCCTAAAGCAAAGGAACTTCAATTTTTTTTTTTCATATCTCAATGATAATCTACTTCAGATGCAGAATCCTGTGGGCTCATTTATTTAAAGCATTTTATTTTTTTAAACAGCTTCCAATTTTCCACATGCAAAGAGGAAACAGTCATCACTTAATAATGTTCAGCATAACTTGAGACTTGTTATGGTAGTTTCCCATTTTTGCTGCTTGGTCTTTTACAATTAATGATCAAATATATTGATTATTGATTAGCTACAATGTCATATGACCTTCTTCACTTCATTGCTATTTTTCATACCAAGACACAGAAGGTCATATTGATTTGTATAATTAAGTCCTTTGATGACTGTTGGCCAATAATTAGAGAGACACATGATTATAAATTGGTATCTTTACAAAAGGTTCCTCTCACCAAGATCATTCTTATTTGGTTAAAGATAGGAGGTTTAGTAAGAATCAAAATATAATTATTTTCCTATACTTTCCATAGTTTCAGTCATGTGCATCTGCAAAACAGAATTTATAATAGTTATAAGTTTAGGTAATATATGCTAAAATACATTTTTCTCTGATTTGCAAGATCAAAAATGTATCGTGATAGATTTTGAAGGTTCTAACTTTCCTCTGATACACTATTGCCTACCTTTTGTGATTTGGAGATATGTACTGAGATAAGCTTAGTCTGGCACAAGGCTATAAAAGTAGGGCATATTATGAACATTAGCATTGTTCTGTATCAAGTATAGTTTAATAAATTATAAGTGCCTTTAAACAATTGAATTCAACATAAAAAGATGGTAATGCATATAAGCAAATGCTTGATAAATTTACAATAAAATCTCATGTTAATATTGTATCAGAACAAAAATCCATAGTTTATTGTATTTTTTAAGTGAATATAAAAGACAATATTAGATACTTGTACATAGATTTATTCAACTACATTTATACATATTTGTTTCACTATCTTTTGCCATCTTTGATGCAGCTTCATAATTCCATCCTCTTAGAACTTGGCATATTTCTCAGTGATGTACTAGTCTAAGTGGTTTTACAGTTTTTCATAGAACTGAAGTTTTTCCAATTGCAAAGATGCAAGGAGATGTGAGTACATCCCAGCCAAAGGGTGCAATTTTCTACCAGGTCTGCAAAGAGACAATGAGGTTTGGGATTGTCTTCATGGAAGATGACACCTTGGACAATTCTGGTCACTTTTCATTGATTGCTACCGTTCAATAAGCATGAATATTTGTCTGAGTTCAGTGTCTAATTTTGTCTAAGAAAGAGTTCATAATATACAGTGACCTTCCAATCCCACAAGATACACAGCATCACCTTTTTTGAATGCCAACCAGTTTTTGGAGTGGTTAATGGCTCATTTCATTTTTGCCAGGACTGTTTTAACTCCACATTGTTGTAAATGTGATCCATTACATTTTTATTTTTGTTAAATCATGAGACACTCAAATATTGTGGGTCATGTATCCAAATGTTTTCAAATACCTTACAATGCACATATGAGATATGTGGAGTATCTATGCAATGTCCCATGTCATGTGACCTGAATTAGTTTCATCAACAACTGAAGGCCAGCTGGAATGTTCTTGGTCTTCCAGATCAAGATTTTATTTTTGAACCTAGTGAACCACTTTCAAACTGTACTCTCAACTGTGACACCATCCCTATAAATGGCACATATCTTTTTTGCTATTTACATTATTCTGACTGTTATCCTCATCTTCATTGCCATATTCACAATGTTTTAGCTGTTGTACGCTCCAGCCTTCTTTAGGTGATTGGAATTTCAAACTGAACCCTTTATTTTGTCCACTGGAGTAGATTGTTTTAGTTCCACATGCCATGTCTCTTCTGGATGTTTCAGTTATTTCTCAACTCCCCAAGAACTCACAACTCTTTGGGTCTAGTCACTGGATCTGGTCACTGGTCTTTATCTACTGGGCCATACATCCTTGAGGACATCTGTGTATGAATTTCTGAGACTTACCAAACCTAATGTCCTAATAAATCATTTTTTTTTTCTTGCAAGTGCTCATATTGCAATTTTATTATTATTATTATTGCATTTTTACCAGAGCTTATATTGTAATTTTTGTTGTTCATTACTTTTCTTTAGCACTCCCATATTGTATTCGTTTCTATGCTTGGTTGACTCAGGAGACTTTTGTGGTCTAGCATATGTACTGATTCCTTAAGTTTTCGTATTTTCCAGTGATGCTCTCTGTCTGTTATTTCAACCTTATTCCACAGGAGGTGGTGATCTCCCTTTTCAATCCATATGTGGTCAGCTATGCCTGATTTTTCTATTTCCCCTTGTGTTACCACTTTACAATGTTCTTGCAGTCTTATCTTAAGGGGGTAGCCTGTTTCTCCTTTGTATTTCTACCATAGCTGTATGGGATAAGATTTTGAAGTTTGTAGTTCTAATGAATTGTCATGAAAAGGAAATGTTCATGCAACAGATTAAATGATCTAAAACATGATAATATTCAAAAATATTTAAAACAAAGGTAAGTGAGTTCATTGCTTACTGAAAGTATATATGTTAGCATACTTTCAAAAGTAGCTGAAAAGAGATAGTTTGAAATACTTAGCTTTCTGGATTGTCAAAAGAAAATTCTTTGAAGTAGTGTATGCTTAGTACAAAGCTGATAATATAATTGATGAATAATTTTACACTGACAAAACTGAAACAAAATCTTTCACATTACTTCAGACACCCTTCTCTTATTAATTTAATTTTTCTCCTCATTTTATATCAAAAGGAATTTTGCATAAGCTCACTATTTTTTCTTTCTTCTTCTTGGCTCAATGGCTACTTTCTATGAAAACAAGGTTTTCATTGGTCCAAAAACAATTTCACATATGCTCACAAACTTGTTTCCTCCTCCTTTTCAGTTCACAGGTCAATTTCTGTGAAAGCAAGGTTTTCATTGGACCATAGAAAATTTCACATAGTTTTGTGAATCCTTTTCTGTCTTCTTCATTAACCCTTCAAATTTGAAGGGAGTGAGTAAAGGGAGTTATTATTTTGCACTCACTACAAACTCTTTCTGTATTTAAATTTAGTTTCATTTCAGTGCAAAATTCCAGATTTATCAAATGAGTATGTCTCGTTTTGAAACTCTTCAGAATTTTTTTTTTTTTTTTTTTTTCAACAATATATAATTTTTTTTTTTTTAATTGAAATCCTGTTTATTAGTTTGGCTTCAATTATCTTTTGAAGCTCATTAAAATGAGATTGTAAATATTTTTAATAAAAGAAAGTGTAACTTGTTTGCATCAGATTATTTTCATACTGAAGAGCTGATCCATAATCTTGATATTTTAAAATTTTATTTTAAAATATGTAAAGGACAAACAAAACTAATTCAATCCATATCTGTTTAGTAATAATCTGTCAGAGAATTGCAGATAATTTTGTTCATACTAAAAAAACGCATTACCAATCTAAAGAAACTTACCAGATTTTATTTTTTCTGTAAAACTCCAAAAGATGTGTTTGTTTTGTTTTTTTCCTTAATAATTCAATTCATTAACTTATTTTTAACAATTGTTTTGGTGATTTTTTTTCTGGAAGAAAAACTCTTTATTTAGTGTCAAAAGTGGTATAGCTTACTTTTAGTATACAGATGGAGAAATGAAGAATTAAAAAAAAAAAATTAAGTACAGATCAATATATCTTTGGTAGTAATATTCTTTTCTTTTTTCATTGATATGGATTTAACTATTTTCATGTATTGTGTTTTTGCTGGCAAATTATTCCTAGGCAACGGCCATTATTTTATAAGCCTTTTCTATGAAGACTGTGAATTGTTGCTAAAACCTTCTTTCACTTAAATGAAACTATTCTCATTCAGGTCATAACTATGGTTTGTCATTGAAGGTCATAACTATGGTTTGTCCCAATTTAATGTTGCAAAGTAACAGATACTCTTTTTCTTGGATTTTCTTTATCAGTATTAAGTTTCATTTAATGGATATTGGTTTTCAGATGTTCTGGGTAAATATATACCATCAGTTGTAAATAAGACAAAGGAAAAGATAATATTGGGTAATGTGAAATATTTGTCTGGTTTATTAAATAAAAATAAGATATTTTTTATATTGACTTTATTAACAATATCTTTACCTTTTTATTTTTTTTACATTGTCTTCTGCTATCAGGCAACTTCATAATTCTATCCTCCTATGATTTATCTTCTTTAGCAATGACCTGATCAAGGTCATTTTTGCAGTCTTCCCCATAATTTCATTAAGAGAATTTTCGAAAATTGAAATAAATGGTAATCCATGCTGAATATGGTGGATAAGTGAAAGCTTAACAGTTTTAACTTGATAAGCAAAGAATTGAACATACATCTTGATGGATTATTATACACTTTCTCTTAACTAATTTTTAATGCTTTTTGTTGATTGCTGTCTTCAGTTGTTCTCATGTTTGAATCAATCAGTTGATTTCGTAAAATACATTTATTGGATGCTTTAGTACACATCAGTGATGTTTCTAGCCGATGTTCATTGGGGGTTTTGGGTCTTTCAACATCATACCCCCTCTCCATGGTGACCCAGCTGACACTGATCGGGTATTGACTTGTGTACCTTCCGTCAGCTACAACTTATTTAATCTTCCGAAATGCACACCATATGACTCTTTTTTTTTTTTTTTTTTGTCCAATTGCAGACGACTTCCAGTTCACCAGCAGAATCCACTCTTCTATTAACTGGTGAATTTTCCTTTCCTGACGGTTATTTCTGTGTTCTTTCGTACGTTTCATTTGAACATAACCGAATCTCTCTGATGTTTAACTAATGATGTTAGTTGTCATTGTATATAATCTACCATCTGTATCCCCTTTCGATATTGTTCTTAAAATATTACTCACATCCTGGTCAAACTGCTATCGTTCTTCCTTCTGGTGTGCAGTGGGCCATTTAATCTGCTTTCTGGTACTCTCTCTGGATTTCGAGAGACCGGCATGTGGAGGGTCTTGGTTCTGTGGTGTGTATCCTGGCCATGCTCCTCCTCTATCTCACCAGGGAAATTACCTGTGCGTTGTGACTGCCTCTCTCTTTCCAAACATTTCATCCTGGTCTGGTGGATTTTAAGACCACATGGGTTCTTGCATTCCTTTCTACAGATGCATTTTACTTTTGTAATCTGTCTGTCTTGATGGAGATCTCATTCTACCCCCCTCTTGCAATCCCCGGGTGTGGGGTATGTATTTGCTGTAAAACTTGTAGCCAACAATGGTTTCTTCCTAGTGAAAGATGCAAGTAGGGGTGCTAACCCAGCTTGCCCAAAGAGCTCTCTTCACGTGATACAAATAGTGGTGATTTATTTTGCATGCCTCATAATCTCTTGTATTCAGTGTTTTTTATTATCCACCTGTTACCATGTAAAAAAAAAATTGAATATTTAAATACAGTCCAATAGTGTTTGCATCTGTGTGGGACCATGTATCAAACTGACTAATATGAGGGAGCTAGTGAAAATAATTTTTATCTATTGATATGGATATTTTGAGTATGTTGTCTCTCCTACATCATGCTGATTATTCTCAAATGATATCTAGAATTTGATTGCTATCTGGTTTGCCCAAATAGTGGAGCATCATTCAGTGAGAAATTTCCATAATTCACAGGACCTTCCATATAAATTGTATAATCATTTTCTTGTTTTTCTTTTTAGCTAAATATTTACCTCTAAAATGTTGCTTATTTTCTTCCATCTTCAGTGTTAATGAATAAAATGTTAATTCAGATTTTCTTTTGAAATCTGATTGCTGTGTTAGCCATCCCAATACAATCAGAAGTGATCTTTTTGAATGAAGCTAAAAAAAAAACAACAAAAAAAAACATTCTTAATGCTATCATTCTTCCATGAACATTTTTTATTTATTAAAAAATCTAAATCTTATTTTATAGAAGCTTATTTTTGTGGATAGATCTGTTTACCTAAAAATAGCATTCATTTTTTTCTGTTATGGTTATCTTTAAATATTAGCATATTGCTGTCATATAGTCTGCCCCCCCTGTAAGTCTCAAGGTTTTTGACAAAATCCAGAGACAGATATGCAATGTGATAGGTCCTGATCTGGCATCTAATCTACAGTCGCTTTCTCACAGATATGTCATGGCTTCCCTCTGTCTCTTCTATATTTTCATGGCAAGTGTTCTGACAAGTTGCTTTCTCTGGTTCCCAGATTACATGAATTTAAATGAGCTACTAGGTTGACATCTCAGTTCCACCCTTTCACTGTCAAAATGGTTAAATGTAACCATCTCTTCTACTCAAACAGCTTCTTCTTTCACATTTCCTGTCTCAGGAATTCTCTTCCTTTTACTTGCTTCCCTGATAACTATAATCTTCAAATATTCAAGTGTAATGTCAATTGACATTTTCTGATACCTTGATCTTGTTCCCCATCCTTCTCTTTATCCTCTCCCCAGATATGCCTCTTTACTCTACCCTCTGTAATGCCTTGTGTGCTAGTGGCACTCCCACCTTGCTTGGGGTGAAATGCTTAAAAAAAAAAAAATACAAATATTTAAAATTTTTATACACTATAAAAGAATTTTACAGAATGAAGATTGACAAAATTCAACCATTCTGTTATGCATGATATTTTTGCCATTGTTTTGTGCATGCTATTTTTTATGAAGTGTAAACTTTTGGTTTATTAAAATAAATGTATAAAAATATCCATTTATTTAAACTTTATGGTCTTTAAATTAACAGCTAAACTTCTTTCTGAATTTCTGTGATGAGTTATCATTATTTACATGCAGACTATTGCCCTCATTTTTGTTGTTGTTATCACAATATTTTGGCTATCATGCTCTCCAGCCTTCATCAGGTGTATATTGATCCAAGTCATCTACAGGGATTTCTGAACTGAACCCTTTATTTAATCTACTTGGGGTATATTGTTCTCATTCCACTGCCCATGTCTAGGGATATTTCACTTAGTTTTTAGTTTTACTACTACACAGTTATTGCTCAACTTGTTTCCTGAATGCAAGTACATACTACTTGGCCCAGGGATTGAACTAACAATTGCTATGTTGCCAAATTCACAAACCAATGCTTTAGTTCACTAGACTATTATCCTGTAGGTTACCTGGATCACTATATACCTGATGAAGTCCAGGAGGTACAACAACCAAAACATGATAACGACAAAGATGAAGAAATGTCCAATATAAACAGTGTAAATAATAACAGCTTAACCTTGAATTTTTTTTTTTTGAAAAGTTGAAATACTATTTATTTTTTTACAGAGGCAAGCAAAACCTGCGGGTTCGAGAGCATAACATCTTGGGCCCTTATGTTGATGGACTCTCAACGTTAGTAGTATCATCATTTGAGGTAAGTTCATTTTTTTTTTTTTTGCTGTTTTTGCTGTTTTTGCTGTTTTTGCAATTGTCCATTAAACAAAAGATTTGTGTAAGAACAGTTCTTTTTGTCTTGTTTCTGTTTGTGATGATAAAAAAAATATTGAATTTTTTTGTTTCCTGACAAATATCTAGTCAATTTATTACCGTATATACTTGAGGTATAGTACAAGTTTATATCATCAGTTTTTTATGCAATAAATAGAGGAGACGCACTATACAAAGAGGGTTTTTTTTTTTTTTTTTGAAGAGGTTAAAAAAACATGCATTTTTGGTGACCAGTTGCACTACACACAAGTAAAATTTTTCTGAAGGGGTTAAAATTCATGCATTTTCAGTGACCATAACTTACATGGTAAGCCAACATTTTCATGTTGCTTTTGCTGAAATAAATATTCATTACTGTAGGTTAACTAACACCCACTGGCCAACAACAGCAGCGAACTGCTCTGGCAATACACCACAGCACACATTTAAACAATCTCCGTTTCCAGCAAAAAAACAAAATATGTGTATAGAGTACTTTTTACTTACAATGACTTCAATTATCATAGCCCAAAGTATGTACCTCAACTCATGCATTATATACTGGTAATCTTGACAAAAAGCTTGTATTTGGAAAGGCAATATCTCAACAACATGAACACTTGTGAAAAAAAAGATGAATGTAAATTTGAGATAGGATAAAAATGTATTAATTCTTCATTTATATAAGGTATTCGTTGATTTTTAAGTGGGATACATAATGGATGAAGTTTTGCTCTTCATGTAGTAACAAAAAGGAAGAAACTTAGGCTGTGTAGGAGGCAGGCTCAGGGTAAAAATGCTACCATGGTCAGGCATGAACGAAAACAAATGTATGGTATCTAAATCTTCATATCAGATATTTTACAATGTGTTTTTTCTCACCATTTTGGGCTAATTTTGTGCAAAAAAGAATGAAGACCATTTATTGGCTATAAAATATGTTCAGGATGATGCCCAGTACTGCAATATTTGACTAAGTCTATTAGTATTGCTCAGAAGCTGGGGGTCACATTATACTCAAGCTATATGAAAAAAATCAGGTTTTTCACAAAAATATTCAATGCTTGCAATATACATGAAGTAGGCTTATACACAAGTATATATATATATATATATATATATATATATATATATATATATATATATATATATTAATTCTCATTTTAATGGAAAAATCAAATAAGATGATTTCTGGTTATGTGTAATGGGTAGATTTACTACAAAATAAGTAAGGTAGTTTTATATTAATTTCTAGTAATCCCGATTTGAAAGATGGCCACTTACACTAATGGAGTTTTTATTTCTTTATTCTCCATCCACAACTGACTAGACATATAGAAATGTTTTAATAAATATCGTCAAAAGATCTTTATCCTGTTTCTACTCAAGATTTTCTTCTCATTGTACTTTCTTTGTTTTGCATATTGTTATCCATCCAGTATTAAGGAAATACCAAGTTTTAGATAACTTATATTCTCTAGGAATAAGACAATGCATTTCATTGTCTCAACTGTTGGTTTATAAAAGTTAATATTTTTTGACAATAAAAACAATTTTTACTGATATGTAAATAAATAATTTCTTTAGATGCACAGAACATTTTTCCAATCCAGAAGAAAATTACATTTGTGTAATGTGATTTATATTAACATTGGTTTACATGAATTTCATTTCTGTACTACAAGGGTTACCTGAGAAATATTGCCAGGTTATAAACAACGTCTTCATTAGTCAAGAATATTTTGAACTGAAAATAGAAATTGTTTTTAGAATTTTATCAACCAGACTGAAGCAGCATTATGCTTAGCTATTATAAAAAGTGTGATCATTTGGAAATACAGGATGTATTATTATGTATGGCAAGAATTGTGGTTTTTGTGTCTTTTGTAGTTCTGACTGTTGAGTATTAAGTAGTTACGTAATGATTAACAGACATTGCTTTCTTGACATTGAAGATTAGACTTTTTATGTCATTTGAGAATATCTGCTCCTATAATTAAAAATTAGTATTGAAAAAAAACTTTACTCAGTAAAGATTCTATATAACTTCATTTGCTCTCAGATGATAATTTTTATGGACAGGCCACTTGTTTTTTTATATTTCAGTTGTTGGTTCAAACATACTCTACTTGTTGAATTTTTAATCTAAAATAAAAACGTGTGACTTTATTATCTTTTATTTATGTATCTATTTTTGTTTAGCATAAGTATTGAATTTTGAGAAATGTCAGATGATCTTAATTGTATAAATTAAATTTAATTTCTTTTATATTTTAATTTGTACAATTCTAGAAAAAAATACATATTGCTATTCCTTCATATACATAAATGGGAGATAGTTGTTTCATTCGAAATTATTATTCATTTGAAAAATTAACAAAAAAGGGTGTGTAATTTTATATAATCATTATGTGTCACTATACAAGAAATTATATTTTAGAAGATAATATGCAAACATTTACTGTAGAAGAGAGAGTGAGAAAAATTCAACAATGTCTCTGACAAAGTTCAACCTTCTGGAATTTGTTCAAAACAATCTCAAATGATAGCATTTCATGATTGGTTGTTCCCATAACTTAGGGGTTACCATACTGTACTTCATCCTTTATAACATCTCAGAGAGTCACTTGAGACTGTATCTTCTCCAAGTATTATGTGACAGGTAATATAAGCATATCTGCTATCAGTATCAGAGAAAAATCTCTGAGCTCTCTCTTATCTCAAATATTATAGCATGTCAGTATTAAGACCTTTATAAAGATATCTGATGATAGAACAGCACAGCAAGATATGGATTCATGCCTTTCCTAAGAGCATTAGCATGAAGTAAATACAAGTAGCCTAAACTCAGTTTACTGTTTCTGTTTTAAATGTTTCTAAAACTTAATTTTTAAATTTCAATGATATAATCATGACATATGTAAATATCATTTTCTAACAAATTAGTTTATCTCTATATGCTGAATTTTTGTGTGAGGGAATGCAAAAATCAGTATTCTGATATTTGGTGATTATGAAATACTGATTAGAGGATGTGGTTTAGGATGAGAATTTTTCAACACCCCATAATACAATGACATAAGGCCATATTTAGATCACACTCATATATGTGTGATCTAAATATGGCCTTATGTCATTTGTTTGGTTATGTCTTTACCATTGTTTGTCAAACATGTCAATCACTAAGCAAATTCATACACCTAAATTTCTGTTAAACAATATCTACTAATATATTGCCAGTTTAGTATTGTATGGACTGCAAATTTTATAATTGACAAGTAATAAGATTAACTTCAAATTTAACATTAACACTGAACTTTGTTCTCCAAACAGGAAAATTAATAAATCTGACTTCGTGAAACCTGAAAAGCTTAGATGTTTACATTAGTTAAAATTAGACTTGTTGCTGGATTTATTGTTAATATATTGCAAATCCAAATAGTGCAGTATAACATTTTGTCTAAGTCAGCATTTTTAAGTTAAATATTATTGATGAAATATTCTTGTCAAATTAGTGAAAACTAATGTTTATTTGATGATATAGTTTGGGTTAAGATTATTGATCTATGTTTACATGCATAGCCTAAAACTACTTGATTTTCCACTTCATGCCTCAGTGAACTATACAGTATCTCTTAGCTATTACTGCATAACATTAGAATAATGATAGACTGTATGTTCACAAGATTTCATGTGAATGACCATAAGTAATAATAGAGAACTTAAATATATGGTTGTTTTTCATTAAATCCTCACTGCTGGAAGGTTTGTTGGCTGGAGGCAATCATAAGAATTTAAACAAACAGAGGAGTTGTAATGCTTTAATAATTCTTTTTTTTTTCCCTGAAAGCTAATATTGATTTTTATTTCTTGTCTGTGCAAAGATTTTTAAAACTAGAAGTAATACTTTCACTAATGCTGCTTGAATAATTTTCCTTTGTTGTAGGCCTTCAAAATTTGCAGTTTCTATATCTTTTGTCCAAGATAAAATGTGGTATCTAAGATGATGATGTAGGGAGAAAAATGAAGTGAAGGCCATTTTGCTTGACACAGCATAGGCATCTAAATTGGTTCAGTCAGAGAGGTTACCTTCAGGCACATTTAAAGAATGAAAGCGGTAGAAATCTCATCTTCTGCTAGTTTCTCACTCAGTGAACATTATCTTATTTAAGCTTGGTTTGATAAATGACTGACACAATGAAATAATAAGATAATGAAAAATATTTCTCATTCCAAACAGATGAACTGCATGCACTGATCTGCATGAATGCTCACAATCTGCCACTTCCTTTTTCCATAAATATTTAATATATGTGCATCTGTGCACACCTCCGTTGATATTGTATTTATGCAGTAATACAAACACACACACACATACACACGTTTTGTATATGCAGAGACAAACACTTGTATATAGGGTGTTTGTATATTGTATCTATCTCATATCAACTCAAGCATTCTTTCAAAGATTTGATTTTAGTTATGGCCAAATAATAATGTAAAACTTAAAAAGGAATCTCATTCAAATGATTACAGAGAAGAAATGTATTTCTTAATCCTTACTGTGTTAGATAATTTTTAAAGCATTGCTTATTCAAAAATACTGTTGGTTTGAAACAACCAAATGTATGCCTAAAAAATTTTTAAACATAAAATTTGTCTTATAGAGAAAACATTATCATATAAACAATTGTTCTCGCAAAAATATATTTATTTGAAACCTATGTTACATGATCAATTACTACAAGAATTTTATAGAAAATGTCATTTGTCTTTTGTTAAATTTAAATTGTTCTACTTGTCTTATCAGAAATGATTAATACTTGTTAAGAAATAAAATCACTATTTCCAAATAGACCAATGTAAAGTAAAATATTACATATTAAAATATATTGCATTTAAAGTCTTAATTCTTTTTAGCATTATTTTGCATAAAATAAAGTTATA